GAAAAGAAAAGGGTAGCGATTAATGTGATAGTTCGTTTGTCTGATAGTTTTATTGGCTGATTTGCTGTGAGAGAAAAATATTATTCGTTGACTCAAAAGTATGACTTACAAGTCAAGCGAACATGGCGTAATTAAGTGCAAGCAAGGCATTAGCCATAACCCAAAAGCCACCCATTGATTCACTATTATTATTAGGTGGCCTGTGCTGTGTGCTGTGCCAGTGCCTCCTTCCCTGGTCATTATTCTGTGCATGGTGGGGGTCTGGAGGATCATGTTTAATGCCTACCTCTTTAATTAACCACATCAGGGATTAATTTACGATTTTTTGATAGATTAATCTCATCAGCGATGATCACAGGCAAATCACGGATCCTCCCTACACTTGGCTTCCCAAAGCCTCCCTCCACCTTGCTGTTATCTGCGAAATCACGAAAATACCCCGCCGCACCCGCCGGTCTCAACTAATCAGCCCTCTTTCTGGGCCCTCGTCATTCTCCTCGCAACGGCGAGTCGGTGAGGCAGCGGACGCCGCCCCCCAGTCCCGAACCCTCTTCTCGCCTTCTCTGTTTCCGCGAACCTGGTTGCCTCGTAGCCCCACCGCACCGCCGAGCACGCGGCCGCGCGCCTTCCACTCAAGCTACTCTACTCTACTCGACCCAGAATCATCTTCTACTCGGGGTAGTCCTCCTCCGCCTCTCTACTACTGGTTGCCGTGGGCGGTGCCGTGGAGTGGGGATCCATCCGGACTTTCTTCCTTTCGCTGGTAAGGAAGCATTGGGTTGCTAGGATGGATTATTGTATTGTTCAAAGCGTGAGTTCTGTTCTGCAGGAATCAGCATCTCCTGTTTGCTCTCGAGCAATGGAATTATGGAATCCGAATCCTGCTGGCCGGGATAAAATTCGGAAGCCCCAGCCCATCCGGCTTGTTGTAGATTTGTGTGTTTGTTGTCCGGAGTACTTAGTAGTTTGTTTTCCAGAAAAAAATGGTGGTTCTCAAAAATGGAAACAAAAAAACTCGTTCCTCATGTTCAGCTCGTTTCTCTTTCTCTGCCCGTGTTCATATAATAATATCACTAGGGTCTAGAAACTTTTTTTTGCATGACATAGCTGATAGCTGGGAACAGAGTTCTGGAGAACGTGAACTGCATGACATCAGGCACCGTTAATTCATCATCTCAGCCTTTTTTGACTGCCTGTTTGGTGGGTGAACATGGTCGTCGGATGCCATGTTTGCTGGGGTGCGATCATGCGTCACCCAGTGATCATTCCAGGCAGGCAGTTGGCAAGACTGCCTATTTCCTGACTGTTCGGCTGATGGTTTCTGTGGCTGATTGGCTGATGCTGTTTTGTTGTTACATAAAAACAATGTACCACGGCTGATAAGTTCAAGCGAACAGGGCGGTTCGTCTTTGGACCACGATTTATGGTGGCCATAGTTGCTCTCAAAACGTTGCTGCCACACCAGATCCGATTGGATTTTTGGGCACCCCAGTTAAATGGTGCTATTAACTCCACTGGATCAGAAAATGACATCTCTCTGTTTTCTTTGTTTTTCTTCTCTGTCCTCTTGCTTTTGCTTTTGTTCTGCTGCTCTAAGCAGGTGGCTTCTATTCCATCCTAATCCGAGTCTACTCAGCAAGGTTGAGGGAGACTTTGGATACTCATTACTGTTAGGGAGTCAGTCTAGCTACATTCATGATAAGCTAATAAGTTGGAGTTTAGTAATTTGTTTCAGCTATGAGACATTCATATCTTTAGGAATTTCTTAGTTTTTGTCTAAGTATATAGGAATATATCAGGAATTGCTTGTGAAACTATTGGGAATTTGGGATTCAACTGCAGATTTAATGACTGCAATTGTGTTCTTTCCCATGCCACACTTCCATTCCATGACATATATCAATAAGGAGAATTTGTTGATTCTTTACAGCATATTTTTATGTCCGCAAACCTTACCTTGATGTGCTTGAGCCTCTAAGCTCAATTCCTTGACTTGTCTTATCTGCAATTGTCTAAGTGACTATGGTTGTATCTTTTATGTTCTCGGTGTCCACTTACAGCACACATATAATCATTGGCAATGTGTTTTATATCTGCAAGTATTCAGCTTACTTTTGTTCTTCCCTTTTATGTTGAACTCAAGAGCAATTTAATATCGAGCACTGCAGGCGAAATGTAACATTCCACTAGTATATAGTAAAGAAAAGAGAGTACCTAGGAACAAATAGGTGTCCTTTTTCCCACAAAAGAAAGAAAATAGACATATAAGAATCGCAGCCAACAAGGATTCAAACCCTAGTGGTGGCGCTGTACACCCAAAGCTCCGACCAATGAAGCTGCCAGAATCGCAGCCGACAAGGATTCAAACCCTATTGGTGGCGCTGTACACCCAAAGCTCCGACATGAAGCTAGACTTTGTTCCTTACATGCCGGTCAATGTCCCATGTGGTACTCCCACATATGCTACAATACCTGCATGGACACAATTCCTTACGTCTCCGTGATATCATGGTTCACGGAATATCACATGTGGTACTCCTGCAAGTGCTAGAATACGTGCACTGACGCAACACGCAGCATTAAATACTATACAACACAGTATCAGTATGGATACAGAATCGGACGTTATACTAAATTTGCCACTATAATGGTGTGGGGCCGTGGACATGCAAGGGTAAAAAGCATCAAGCATGCAAACATACACTTATCTAACTTCTCATAGTACCGATTTGTTATGTATTGATTATAGCTATTGATTTCACAAGCTGATGACATAGGTGGTTGCAGTTTCCTATAGCATTTTGTTGTTAGCTTACGACCTTATGTCCTATTTGTAAGGGGTATATAAGTTAGCTATGACAAACAAGTTGTTTATGGCATTTTGTTGCTAAGCACACCACATGGGGATGCACTATAATTTTGTTGGATATGGCTGTGCTATGTTTAGATTGGGTGTTACACCTAACATGGTTTGCGCTGCTTACCCTTAAGTCTTACCAGAATTATCTCTGCACCCCTGTCTTGCGTTTTTTGTTATATGCCAAATATATGATTTACCTTTACTTGCCATTTGAACTACAATTGTTTGCATGACTGCAAATTATTTCTATTGGAGTTTGAATTGTTGTAGGCTCTTGGAGACCAACTAATATTAATTAACCCATTAAATGACTGTATATGCATCTTTTGTCTGCTGTTTGTTAATTCCCAATCATGGCATGGATCACGAGAAATGCTGCCTGTGGTTGAATCCAGCTTCTCATAGTAGCATGTATCTTATTAAATTTTATTTTACATTCTGCAATTCTGGGCATTACTTTATGCTTATTTACAGACATTTTTATTTTTTTTTTGAAACTTAAAAGTTGACTAATTTGTTACATTTCCTGATGTCTTTGGTTGACAAAAGAATAGGCGTCTCGGATACATAGGGCGCGTTTGGTTGCTTTCTGGATGTGGCCTGGCTCGCTCCGACGAAGCAGGCTGCCACTGGCCAGGCTTTGCAGCTGCAATACCAACTTGTTTGGTTCATGTACACATGCAGCCAGGCCATGAAGGGAAGGTGTTTGGTTGCCCACAGCCCACAGCTCTCACTCTCACACAGCATGCATGCACACACGTCCACCGGCACCAAGCGAGCCAGGCTCTGGAGGAACGGCGATTTTTTCCGCATGCCGCAAGCCTGGCTGGCGGACTGCTTTTGCATCGCGTGGATCTGGCTGGGGGGCTAGACCAGGCATCCAATCACGCGTTGGCTGCATCACTGGTGCCTGGTTGGGCAGGATGCAGGGAACCAAACACCCCCATAAAGTTCAAATTTTGTATATACAGGTTCTGATGTCCCCATTAGGGAATTTAGTATGTTGCAATAAAACATCGTGTATTTAGTGCACATGTAGTTAACTAAGTCAAAAAAATCCAGCATCAGATTCATCCTAGATGTCAAGAAATAAGATAAACAATCAATCTGAACCCTTGATAGGGCAGACCCAGTGCCGGAGGCTCCCACATGAGTGGGGTCTGGTGAAGGGAAAAACCGTGGCAAGCCTTCCCCCTGCAAAATCTGCGGAGAGGCTGCTTCGAACCCATGACCTGGTGACTCAGTGAGACAGCTCTCACCACTGCACCAGGCCTGCCCTTCCTAATCTGAACCCTTGATAACAAATATAAATTTGAATAATTTTATTTTTGCATGTTTAATTAACTTTCTGTACTACGTACATGGTTTTCAATGACTTTTTAGGAACATTGTCACATATTGTATCATTGTATATTCACTAATGGGGACCCCAGAGCCCCTGGTCACTAATGAATTCCCCCAGATATATTATGGTCTGTTCTTGCACGCACGTTGTAGTCAGTAGCCATTTATTTTAGTAAAAAGTTTCCTATTATTTTCCACATTGTAGTTGATATTTTATTCCTTCTGTAGCAATGAAATGATAATCATATCCAAGATAACATTCATAAATTTCATATACAAAAGATGCAAATGTGACACCTGATCAGCCAACAGTTCTGTGTAGTTGAACTGATGATTCTTTTATATGCTTGAGAGTCTGCAAGCATTTTTATTTCTCAAAACGTAATCTCTCAGAGCCCTCAAAGTATCTCTTGAACATTAGTTTGAATGGGATAATTTTTTCTATGAACTAGTGTTTCCACTTTCCACCCTAGGGATCATCCACACCTCAAACAGGAAGAACCAAATGTGGTCCCACTGGGCAGTTTATTTTAAGTAGTAATTGTCATTTGATTTCATTTGTTGAATGGAGAATCAATGTGTCTTCTTTCTTCCTTACAAGTTCACACTACTGATTTGTCGTTTCTCTACCATCTACCAGTATCTTGTTTATGTATAGCTTCAGTTTATCTTATCTGTGTCTGTTTGTTGTATCCAGTTGATGTCATCATGCTGAGCATTTTGTGGTAGAGACGCCAAGATCATCTCTTTGGGTTCCAGCATATAACGCCTGGCCACAAAATTTGCAATAGAAAATATGTCGACACAGGCCTCTAACCGGTCATACAGATATCCAGACAATACCCAACTACCGTACCACAATGGCAATCCAATGCATGTTGTGGGCAATGGTAATTACTATGTGCAACAAAATCATGATGATGTTAACTACATTTCCTCTGATGATGGATCACAGAGCAGTAATTCTAGAGCTCAAGGTTTTCAAGCACAGTTTTGCACCCTAGACTCATCTTCGGCCAATTGTGTTTATCCTGCACATAGCTCTACCTCTTCTCAGAGCATAAGTGGAAGCTCTATGTCTCAGCAAGAGAGCCACTCTGATCATGCATATGGTTCCTCTCCAAGTGCATCGTGTGTTACTCAGGTTCCCACCTGGACACTTAAGGATCTAGAAAATGTGATGCTTGGACCCGATTCTGACATAGGTAGCCCTGACAGTTCCTTTCTGCCTGGCACTGCCTTGTATGATAACAACTGGAGAGAACTTTTGGGAATTCAAACTGGGGATTTGAGGCAGCTAATTATAGCATGTGGTAAGGCTGTTGACGAGAATGCTTTCTATATAGATGCACTGATGTCTGAGTTAAGGGAGATGGTTTCTGTCTCTGGTGAGCCGATGCAACGTCTGGGAGCTTACATGTTGGAAGGTCTCATTGCGAGGCTTTCTTTCACTGGACATGCCCTGTATAAATCTCTGAAGTGCAAAGAGCCTGTGGCTACGAGTTCTGAGCTCATGTCCTATATGCATCTTCTTTATGAGATCTGTCCATTCTTCAAGTTCGGCTACATGTCTGCCAATGGTGCCATAGCTGATGCTGTTAAGGGTGAAGACATTATTCACATCATCGATTTTCAAATCGCTCAGGGTAGTCAGTGGATGACTATGATACAGGCCCTTGCTTCAAGGCCTGGGAGGCGACCATACCTAAGAATCACTGGCATAGATGACTCGAATTCTGCTCATGCCCGAGGTGGTGGACTGGATATGGTTGGACAGAAGTTGCACAGAATGGCCCAGTCATGTGGTCTGCCCTTCGAGTTCAATGCTGTGCCAGCAGCTAGTCATGAGGTTGTGTTTGAAGATCTTTGTGTAAGACCTGGGGAGGCCATCGTTGTTAATTTTGCTTATCAGCTGCATCATACTCCTGATGAGAGCGTGGGCATAGAAAACCATCGTGATAGAATATTGAGAATGGTCAAGAGCCTCTCTCCTAGGGTGGTAACTCTTGTAGAGCAGGAGGCAAATACAAACACGGCACCTTTCTTTCTTAGATACATGGAGACTCTTGATTATTACACAGCGATGTTTGAGGCAATAGATGTTGCTTGCCCCAGGGATGATAAGAAGCGGATTAGCACAGAGCAGCACTGTGTTGCAAGGGATATTGTCAATTTAATTGCTTGTGAAGGTGCGGAAAGAATAGAGAGGCATGAGCCTTTTGGAAAATGGAGGGCAAGGCTTGCAATGGCTGGGTTTAGACCATACCCATTAAGTCCAGTGGTGAACAGAACCATCAAAACACTGCTTGACAGTTACCACAGCTATTACAGGCTTGAGGAGAGAGATGGCATCCTTTATCTTGGCTGGAAGAACAGAAAGCTGGTCGTATCTTCTGCCTGGTGCTGATATTTCCATTTTTTTGGAAGAATCTTTGTTTAGGTATATTGCTGGCAGCTCACAGATCTTTAACTTCTTATTATCCCAAACATATGCATGTCTTTAGCAACTTTAAGTTTCCAAGCTTGGGACCACATCAGGTGTTTTAGGTGACTGTATGTCTTCCATTTTGGCGACGAAACCAGTTAGTAATATCTGTCTTGGTGATTACTACCTTCCAAGCTTGGAATTGCCAGTCTTTTTGGGTGGCAATATAGTTCTGTACTTTGGGGAGGAAACAAATCAATGATAGGTCCCATTATACTTTTTCTAAAGATTTGACTGGGATTGTAGCCCAATGTGAGTGGTCTTGTACCTGAAGTCCCTGTATATAAAATGTGATAGCAAATAGAATCACCGCATTGGTTTTACCAAATCTCATAATCTTACAGAACAATGTACTGTTATGCTTCTTCTGTGGGCTGTTGCTTGATGCATTTTATGCTGTATTGCTGCATGATTATGTAACGTCTATTGAGAAAAGTTTGTATATAGCTTGAACAACTTCATGCCAATCGTAGGTATATTCCTTTAAATAACACTGTTGCTTAGTTTCTTTCTATTTTGTTCCCTGCAGGTTCTTTCGTGGCATTGTGTTCAGCACATGAATCCAAGGTGGAACCTAAACTTCAATATGAAGACTTCACAATCATAAACAAGCTGGTTGCTTCCTTACTGTTTGTTGCCCAGCTTTGCAACTCTCCCATGCTCACCATCATCTCGGACTAGCTGTTCATCTCTGATGTACTTACCATGACTCAGTTCCATCCTTATATAGGTGCAAACAGTAGTTTCATCACCCCCTTGTACTGGTTTTAATACTGTATGTTGGTAGAATCTGGTATCAGCTTCAGAATCTGGATTGCTGAATCGTGTATGTTATATTTAGCCAGGATTTGACAGTAGGCACAAGGAGTGCCGTTAGATTTTCTGTATGTACAACCTGCTTCAGTTGGTGTATTATACGTACTTATATAGTATGGGTGATTTACTTGGGTGCTATTTCTGGTTTGTTTATCACAGTACTGCACTGTTCGCCCGTTAAACTCTTGTTTGGTGGTTGTAAGTTTTGCTCTGCATTGGTAGGCAGGAGCAAAGAGTTGAGGTGTGAATGCTTTTTGCGATGTTGACCTTACGGCATGTTTAGTTGTCAAAAAATTTTGCGGATTACCTATCACATCGAATCTTATAGCACATGCATGGAGTACTAAATGTAGACGAAAAAAAAACTAATTGCACAGTTGGGTGAGAAATTACGAGACGAAACTTTCGAACCTAATTAGTCCATAATTAAACACTAATTGACAAATACAAACGAAAATGCTTACAGTAGCCAAACTCAAACAATTTTGCATCTAAACGCGCCCTTAGTACTAGATGGCGGCACGCCTGATGCGTGACTGAACCACTTTGTGCATTGTGCACCGAAGAAGGCAAACCCACTTGGATCTCTGCTGAATGCTGACGCTGCCTCTGCCTCTGGATAGAGCTCCTAGCCATCTGTTGTCTGCTGCCTCTAACTCTAACCTCTGCATGCTTGTGGTCTGATTGATTTACTTTGAGGCGAATCAGTTGATCGGGATTTGCTTCGCAGAACGGCAGAATCCCCTCAAGAATCAGTGGAGCGCCTCATCTTCTGCAACAAATTCGCTTGCTGCCAGCTCTGTTGATTACGTATTTGTTATTGAGGCATCAACTAACCACGGAGTTTAGAACTGGAGATGCCTGTTGGTTTGACTTATAAGTCGGTATTTCTCTCCCACAGACGGTAATTTCAGCCGTGCCTTATCGGCGCCATTGTCCGTCAGGCTCAGACCTTCTTCGCCATAAATACATGCTGTTCACGCGCTGGCGCGACTCATAAGCTGTTGCAGAGTTGGGGTTGCTGCCACCCACACTCCATTCCCATCTCCCTTTTCCGCACCATCTCTTCTCGGTAGCCATCTCTTCAAGGAAAGGTTCCTTATCTTTTCTTCTTTCCTTGGGAGCCGAGAACCGGGACCGGTGCTTTCCCTTTTCCCCCCGTGTCTTGCTGCTTCCAATCGATCCGTCAATTGATCGGGCGATAGTGGCGGTGGTGCATTTCTGGGATGGGGCTGCTCTTCTTGGAGCGGCTGGAGGGGGAGGGCGTGTTCAGGTGCCGGCGCTGCCGCGTGGACGCCGCCTCCAAGGACGCCATCATCTCCAGGGACTTCTTCGGCCGCACCGGCCGCGCCTACCTCTTCGACCACGTGTATGTTCTGCGCACCCCTCGTTCTCTTTGCTAAATTCTCGCGGCGGCGGTTCCCATGGGGAGGGGAAACAGACCCCGTTTTGTTCGCGTAGAATTCGGACCTCAACCCCCCATCGAACGAGGTCGTCAGCCCAATGTGACCAAAACTAGGCTGCCGGCGCACCCCTGCTGCAAAGAGGATATGCCTGTTTCAGGCTGATCCCCGCTTGAATTGAATTGAGGCGAGGTTAGGGAACTCTGTTCAGGTTCAGGTCTTTCACAAATCGCAGTAGATAGATGGCCCAGTACTAGCAATGCTGCTGTGCATACTATATGTTTCTGGTTTCCTTGTAGAAATAGAACCATAGCATGTTCGAGACATGCTTGTAAATGCATTCATAGTTGGATTACGAATCATCTCTACAACTGAGGCCCTGACGGATCTGGGTGCTTGTCCGGCCATCAGATTGTAGTCTTGTAGTAGCTTGCTTGGCAAATCAGCACACAACGTAGTGTGCTGTGGGATCTTTTCGTAGTGCTGGGGATCACATCGATACTGTATTTAACAAACAAGACTCATAGGTGTATTTCAATGAGCTCAAAGGCTAACACCGTATTGCTTGTTGATGGGCTGATGGTTATAACTGCGCACTCTACAGGTTAGAGTAGAAGCCTTAAAAGGAAAACCATTATCATGGACATAAACATAGCTCTTCTGTTTGCGACAACCGACAATTTTGTATGATTGTAACCATTATCAATTTATCATACAGTCGTTCTGATAAAGTCACTGCCAGATTGTGAATAACTTGTAACCAAGCAGCAGAAGGACTTAACCATGTTGCTTGGTGACAGTCTGATGGTTATAACTGCACTCTACGGTGTCTGCTTTAATAAAAGATATAAACTCTTATCATGAACTTGACATAATTCTTCTGTTTTGTTACTGCCATTTTACTTGGTACAATGTTGTGTACTCATAACCACTATCCGTCCCAACTCCCGAGGAAGCTTTATACTGTCGTTCTGATAAAGTCACTGCCAGATTGAGAATAAAGTGTAACCAAGCAGCTATCTTCCTTTGATCCATGTATACCTGTTCTGGTATGGTTACTAAAACTTTTTTTGGCAATATTTCAGTGTGAACATATGCCTAGGCCCTAATGAGGATCGATATCTTGTAACCGGACTCCATACTGTGAATGACATCTACTGTAGCTGCTGCCAACAGATTCTTGGCTGGAGATATGTGAGTACAAACATAATTGGCTTATCTTGTGGTAATGATTATCTTATTTTCATTGATTCATGCTTGGCAGTAGACATAGTAGCAAAGTTACTTTATAAAACAAGACAAAAAATATTCTGCAACAATTTGTTGAAATGGGACAAAGCTGAAGAAACATACTTATCATTTCTTCAAAAAGCGCTGAACATCAAGTGGACGTCTATGTACAACAAATGGAAACTAATGCTTTATTCATTTCTCAACCGCTACTCGCATATAAACGCTTTCCTCGAAACGTTTAGCTAACACTGAAGTCAATTCTGCTTCACTTTCTGGGCTTAATCATTGGATTGCACAATGATTTAAAATCTATTCATCTGGAGATATGAACACCATTTTGCTGTTCATATGTGGTTGTTCTCCCTGTTCTTGAAAGTTGAGCTCTGATTTTTGTGCTGTTGATGCAGAAATCAGAGGTGTTTTAACAACAAACTGGAAGCAACATAGTCTGCCCATGTATCTGTTTTTCTTTTCTTTTTTTCAATTCGCCTTTTGTCATTTGTGCTAAAATGGTGGATGAATGGTATAACTATGTCTTTTCAACCCAGCATCGTGTCTTGATTTCTGCTGTTATATCCAGAAATACAACAATTAACTACAGCTACTAGCATTATTGTAAAATTGAATTGTTTACAATGTCAAAAGAGTAACACCGTCATTATTTTTCTGTCCGCCAGTAGCTCAAAAACATCTCACATTTCCTAGAAGACATGTTGCCATTCCGTTCCTCAATCACTACATCATATTCATATACCACTTTCTGCATATGATGCATCCTAATTCCTGGGTGGTTTGCTGCAGGAGAAAGCCTACGAGCAAAGCGAGAAATACAAGGAAGGGAAGTACATCCTCGAGAGAGCCAGAATGGTGAAAGACGGGTGACGATCATTCGGATGTTCTTACTACTAACATCCTGGAAGCAAAATCATCTTGAACTCTGGAGAGATTCAGAAGTATCCCTCAACTCGCATGCCTCAGAACATTTGACGCCTAATTCACATTCCAATTAGGAAGGTCACTGGTCACTGGTTGCAGATTATTTGATTTGTAGAATATCACTGATTCTAAATGCTCTTAGCTTGTTAGCTGTGGTAACATTTGGTGAAATATTGATGACCCGATGAATTGAAACGAAGCTGATTTATCTCTAGTAACCATTGTCATTCAGGCTTTCGCCCTTTGTGGACTTGTCTGGTTCGCGCAGGTTGGGCAGTGAGAGCCCCCCTCCTGATCCTGGTGGACACGGGCTTCTTAAAGTGGGCCGCATGCATCTCGAGAGCCCGCTCCATTATATAAGCGCACTGCGGATCCACACACGGCTCAATTCGAAATCAGGGCCCGTTATCAGCCGGCTTATCAGAATTTTTTTTCACAATAAATCAGCGTACCAGCCGAACATTCCTGCAATCCGGCGCGGTTCGATCGCCATGGAGCCGAACGGTGACGCCACCTTGTCCAACCCCACTGCCGACCTCGAAGCCCGCCTCGACGCCATGCGGCTCGGCGATCCCTCCTCCTCGCCGCCGCTGAGCCCGCAGCACGTGCTCGTGCCGCAGATGCCCCAGTCCCCGCCTCGAGTGCTCGTGCCAACAGCGGCGAACGTCGCACGGCCGCCTGTGACGGAACCGGCGATCTTCATTAAGGGGGCCGGACAAATGTAATCATATTTTTGAATTTGATAAAATATAAGTACATAATTATATGTTTCAATAACTTTTAAAAAAAATACTATTTATAGCCAAAATCATAATATTTGAAAAAAATGAGTGAAAATTGGTATTTTTTTGCTATAAATTCAAATATTTATATAGGTATTAACTCGAGATTAATTGTTGGATCATTTTTTTACGATCAATTGTTGGATCATTTTTTTAGATCAGTTGTTGGATTAGTTGAAAACACGGTAGGAGCAAAAGTCAGTGGAAAAGTTGAAATCTGGGCTATTGCAAGCGGCATCACTGCATCAGACCTTTGAATTGTGTAATAAACTGACAAACACTGAAACTTGGTAATCACATTTACCCGTGTTTCTGTTTTTGCCTATGATGTTATCTGATGTACAAATTCTCATTTACTACATCAGCCGATAATAAATACTACTTACCCTCTGCATAATCTACAGCTATGAATTCAGGCTGAACCGCTTGGAGTTGGAGATTGCTTATCGTCTCCATTTGTTCGTACATAAACAAGTCAGAGGTCACAAACTACAGTCTAGGAAAATCATGGGCTTGCTGCAGGGGTAAGAAACGAAAGGCACATTTTACTGTACCATCTTACTGACATCTTTGCACCACAGATGAATCCATAAATTAGAACTGCGGATTTACTGCGAGCTATGCTTACACATTACCAAGCTACTGTTTATATCTCATCAATATGATCTACTGAACATCTGTCACCATACAAGCTCAGAAAATGCAAAGATTACCTTACTTGAACATCAATCAAATACAAACAATTACGCACAGAGGCGCATCGGTCACGCATTCGGTCTCTGACTCTGAGTCGGTGATCGTCTGACCCTCTGCATGCCCCGCATCCGCATCCGTACAGGCGGTTGGCAAATCCAGCCCAGCGTCCCCACCCCTCTTGAGCCGGGCAGGGCAGCGGGCACCCACTTGCCTTGCCGTCGTGTGGTCCAGGCGTACCGAGCGCCGCTGCCTCTATATAAGCGCCACCAGACACCACCGCGGCCACCACGCCCGCAACGGCCCTCGTGTTTCAGACGCCGCAACGAAATCTAAGCGAGCGCTACCAACCTCGGCGCCTCCACCCGTCCACCGCCATGGATCCAACCAGGCAGGGCGGCGACCCCAACGGCCGCGGCGCCTACTACAACTACAACCAAGCGCAGCGTCATGACCACCCCTCGTCGTCGTCGCCGCGATGGCTGGCGCTGCCGCTGTTGACCTCGTGGCCCCAGTGCAGCCGCAGGGTGGCTACCCGAGCTCCTTTAACGTCGGCATCCCTACCGACGGTAACATCTCGGGCAACGATTTCGCTCCCTTGGCCGTCCCCATGCCCGGCCCCGGCTACCACTACTCAGAGGTGGCGGGACCATCGGTGCCGAACGCCATCGCCAGCCAGAACCAGTACCAGCCTTGGGCAAACCAGCCTCATCCTGACTCCGCCGCCGTCTTCCCCGCGTCCGGGTACAACCCCGTCTATCTGCCCGAGGCGGGGGTCTACGCTCAGCAGCCCAGCTCCGCCACCGTCTTCAACGCGCCCGGGTACAACAGCAACCCGCACGCCTTCGTCTATCAGCCCGGGGCACCGCTCTACGCTCAGCCCGGCGCCGCCACCGACTTCTCCGCGTGGGGCGGCAACGCCAACAACGTCCCGTACACCTCCGCTGGTCTGGTCGCGCCGCCCGCTAACGCTAACCAGGGTGCGAGTCGCGGCCCAGTGGCTGGCGATCCAAACCGATCCCGTCTGGCGCTTCAGAATTTCCTGGCGAACGACCTGCTGGCCGCCGTCCAGCGTGCGAACATGCGCGGCGACCTCGAAGCCATTGTCCGTAGCGTGATATGGCACCAATGCAACGGGGTCTCCCTGATGGAAGTCGCCGAACCTAGGTCCGGGTACGTTCTGGGATCAATTCCTGCTCCATCGATTTTTGCGAAAGCTGGTTCGGAATTTGAAGTTTGAATCGAACCCTCCCATCTTTCTCACGGTTTGATCACAAGTGATTCAACGAAACTGTAGTCCACATGTGTTTCGCTTGCCTGTCAATCGATTAGTAAAATGTCAGAGCATTTCCTGCGATTAATTGATTCTGCCGTGAACTTAAAAACTGTGGATGATCTGGGTGCTGCCCTGCTGTGTTTTGCCCGGTTGCAGGGAGACAGCTCTGAAGGAGCTCGTCAGGTTGGCGGCGCTGCACTTGGGCCCCGAAGCATTGCAGCTGCTATTCAGGTGCCTAGTCGCGATGGATGGATAATGGAACAGAGGAATGGCCCGGGCCTGCTTCGGCATTTCTTCACCACGTTCGATTACCACCATTGCTCGGTATGCACCCACAGCCCATCGGTTGGCTGCAATGGAGGACATACGTATTGCTATTGCTCGCTTTTTTCTGATGAACTTGTTTAGATTTTCGTCCACGAGCTCGCCGTCCGCCGCTTCCGGGATATGGTCACGTCCAGGATCGGGTCTATGAGCCTGATGCGATGCGTGGAGGTTGCGGGATACACTGAACAAGGTACTATTCTCCAGGACACCATCGTGACCCACACCCTCCAGATCGCCAGGAGCGAATCCGGGTAAGAGCTGAGCATTCTCATACACCGCGTGGTTCGTTCTTCTCGTCAGTTGTAACCTTCTCAAGCTGGAGAAGGTGGTATCTGAATCTGAGTGGAACTAACGGGAAACCTCCTTCCTGCGTGCCGCAGCGTCTTCGAGAGAGGCAGCTACGGTCAGCTCAAGGAACGCATCATGGAGCGCGTCCTGAACAATCTCGTGGAGTTGTCCATGGGCCGATACGGGAACTTCGTGGTACAGGGGTGCTTCGTCCCCAGCCATAGGGTGCCTTTGCCTTTGGTGCCTCTGCTGCAGCGCGGGCTCCAAGCCTTCTCGCACCTGCCCGACGAGCAGCTCCGGGAGTTGGTGCAGAACCACTGGGCCGGCTACGTCCTCCGCCGGCTACTCCAAACCAGCGTAGAGGTAAGTATTCGTCTATCCTTCTTTCCACGCCAATGCCCGCGCCGGCCGGGCGCTCGATCGTTACCTGAGACTGGTGTTTGATCTGCGCGGAACGTGTCATGCAGCGCAATGTGGCGGCGGCGGAGGCGATGGAGCTGGCAGAGCGGATCTTGGGAGTTGGCCGGGGCTACCGGAGACGAGGTGATCGACGAGCGCAAGCCATAGCTATTTTGCAGTAGTCGATGATTTGCTCCGCTGAGTCAGAGCGCGCCACGATGCCTTAGACTGTTACTGCGAATTGCGACAGGCCGTTTCTGCCTGTCTGCCTGTCATGCTGCCCAAGGATGTGCCAGGCCATTCTGCACTGCGAATTGTGTGTTTGATTGGCATTGCTTGCTGACGTACGCTGTCAAATGTCTCTGATTTTTCTGTACAATGCTACGCCGTTGCTGTACAGCTCGATTGATTTCATGAAAGGAAACTAAGGGCGTGATTGGTTGCTTCGGTAAGGGGGAGCCGGAATGGAGAGCCGGTCCAGGACGGTGAGATGCATGCTCAAACCATGCACTCAGTCGTGTTTGGTTGTCTTTGTTGTTGGTCCAGTATGAGATGAGATCTTGTTTGGTTGCATGCATGGATGAGAGTTTTGAGTGTATGACACATGGGTCCCTGCGCCATGCCTGAATCAAGCCATCCTGTATGGAGAGGGAAGTGGAAATTGAGAAGATGAAGTCATGCGGAATGGAGGAGGGCAGATGAATGAAAGGATACAGGCGAAAGGTGCGAGGAGGGCAACCAAACACGCCGCATGAATGAGGTCAGACATCAAAATGGTACGGGGACGGCCTACCAATCACGCCCTAAAGATTTTGTACAGTCTATGCTTGTCCAGTACTTGGTAGGCAGCATTTCTGTTTGTATCCATGTTGCTAATTTCTGTCTGTACCCATGTCGCTAATGTTGTGTCAGATTAACCGTCGTTGCAATTGATGTCTGCGTGTACTGGTACCGTAAAGGTTTACCGCTCGCGCTCTCACACCGCACCGATGCCACGCACTGTAAGCAAGATTATCAGTATACCAATCCGTGTCTAGAATGTTGAAATACTACGTGTCATGATCCAACATTGCATCTTAATAATCGTAAGTATCATATGCATAATCATCTTCTAAAGTTCATTTTTGTAAAATTAGTTAGCCTTAGCTAGAACTTTTATGGTTGTATACTATGACGGATGGTGCGCAGCACCCCTATGATCCGCCATCACAAGATCTAGGTCGACATAGACACGTCCAGGCCTACAGTCTACCAGATAACCATGGACGGTCCGCCAGAACTGACCTAGGCTCAGGATTAGGTATCACTTAATTTATTGCTTCGGCCCCACCCATTAGACCTATGTGGCCTCTCCACCAGCTAGCACACACACACACCACTCCCACTCTTTCTAGTTCTTGGAGGGGAAAGCTTTGGAAGCTTCACCGAGTCAAGGTAGGAGGAGAAATCTTATAGGAGAAGGAGGTAGCCAAGACCTCCGTCCTCATCGGCAGTACCACCATGTCCATGGCAGGGATGAGCTAAGAGAGCTCATCCCCTTGCTAGGAGGGGGTATCAAGGCAAGAAGCAAGGAGGAGGAGAACCATGCAAGACCAAGCACAAGCTCATCCCCAAGCCCTCTAGATCATATTGGCAACCCTGGTAGGTACAACACGAATCCAAACCCTAGAATCAATAGAGGTCAAGGTAGTGTAGTTTAACTCACCTACTAATTATCCCTAAATGGCTAAAACATGATCTAGGTAGTTTCGATGCAATGTACCTTCTTAGATATGTTCACAAGCACCTTAGAAACACATGTGCACAACCACATACCAAGTTCTACCTCTATTAAATTTAAAGTAAACGTAAATACTACGTGTCACCATATATATTAAGTCCACAAAAAAAATATTCCTTCAACAAAACACATACTAATGACATTGACAAATTCATTTAAATTTATATCAAACTTTATGAAAATAATTTTTGTAGTTTGTTAGTTTATTAAATTGCATATACACTACTACGTACAATAGAACTGGCATTCATTGTCGGCTCATCACTGTTGGTCGTTTTGAAACCGGCAGTGATAGAGTACCATTGTCGGTTCATGGCTTCAACCGGCAGTGATAGGCATATGAGATCGGATGAAGATAAACTTTATATGAAAATTGTAGAGTTCAAAGAGATATAAAAATTGTTGTTGACAATTTTTTAATTTGAGATGATTTACAAGTCTAAATATTCAATATAAGTTCTCGAATCAGATTTGACATTAATAGCAATGTCGAA